CTGTCCGCGCCACGCGGCCACCCGCCACCAAACTGCGCACTACTCAATGACTGTCAGCTACACGCGGCGTCACGTCGCCGGACCGCCGCCTCGTGCGATGGCCCTTCCATCAGGCTGCCCGCTGCACAAAGCCGCGCCGCCGCCCCCCGTCGCCTGCACACTAAGCCCCCCACACAGCGGCGATGGCATCTCACTGCACGCTACACCGCCCTCGGTGCCGCTAGCACGCCGTCCAGCCTGGGGCGATCCCGGCTACCGGCGCCGTGCCGTTCAGCCCGGCGGCGACCCCAGCCACAGTTGACACGCCGTCCAGCCTGGGGCGATCCCGGCTACCGACGCCGTGCCCGGCGGCGACCCCAGCCACAGTTAACACGCCGTGCAGCCTGGGGCGATCCTGGCTACCGACGCCGTGCCCGGAGGCGACCCCAGCCACAGTTAACACGCCGTCCAGCACGCGGCGGCGGCGGCTTCGGCCGCCGCGTTGTCCAGCCGGAACAGCCCTTGACTCTGCTTACCGCGCCGTGTGGTTTAGTACGACACCAGCCGAGGTCCACACCGCCCGGCCCTCGAGTCACTGCTGTCGTTATCATGCCACGCGGTCCGGGGAGGCCCGGCTGCCGTTACCATGCTACCCAGCCCTGGACGGCCGAGCAGCCGTTATCGGCCGGGTCGGTAATTTATGCGGCGAATCGATGGTCCGCCCCGCCCCAGCCGGGGTCCGATGGCGGGGCGATACTCGCCTGGGAGGCAGGATAGGGGGAGGGGGGAGGGCACGACCGTAACCAGGGGTGGGCAGACAAAGGGGAGCGAGCGCGCCGATTGATGGACCTGCGTGAGGCGGGCCCGCACAAGCAGCGGCGGCCGGGGGCACCAGCACCACCAGCGGCGGCCGGGGCACCAGCGCTGCTGACCTGCATGACGCGGGCCCGCACCATCAGCGGCGGCCGAGACGCCGCTCTGCCCACACCGCCGCGCCAGGCCCGCCGCTCACCGAGCCGACGGCCTGTGTCCGATGGCAATCACAGTCGGCGGCGCGCCCGCGGCGGGCACCGACGGCAGCGGTGTCGCTAACGAGCGCTAATGACGGCCGGCGGCCGACCGGCGGCCGACCGGCGTGGCGGTGCCGGCGGTCCGGCGCGCCGGGCTCCTCGCCGCGCCCGGCGGCGGCCGCTCACCTTGGCCATGCTGGCCGGCGTGGGCGCGTGGCCCAGGCAGGAGGTGGGCACCAGCTCGTGACAGGTGCCGCTGCGCAGCCGCAGGATCAGGCGCATGTGCTCCTGGGACGACATCTGCTCCGGCTTGATGGACAGCACCACGGGGCCCAGCAGCTCGTCCTCCCGTACCAGTTGATGTGGTCCTGCGGCCAGACGGCTGGGGTCAGGGTCAGCGAGCGCACGCGGAAGCACACAGCACAGACACGGCGCGCCGCTGCCAATGAGACGGACGGCTAAAAACTCATTAACAACGATGGTTAAGTGCACAACACACAATGGCTAAAGCCATAAGTTGTGTTAATTCCGCATGGATTCAACGCTACTAGCTGCACAAATCACATCAAACGTACTACATTGAACAAATTATCCCAATTTCCAGCATAGTGACCTCAAAATGCAACGGGTGTGTAGCAATGCACTGTGCATGAGCATATAAGAACATAACTTGTTTCCTTGATGAGCCATGCCATTAGACCCCCGAAATTTGAATTAACTGAGCCCCGTCCTGCATGCATCTAGCCCTCGAAATGCAATTGTAATTAGCAGCCCGGTGGAGGCGCCACACGCATCCGTTTACTAGGATGCCCACGTCCACGATTACCATAACAAACCGCTGCACATTCCAATCCTTTAACGTTTGCCTCTATAGCTCACGGGCATACTCAATGCAAGTCTACAGACAGTGACAAATCACGTCTCTGTGAAATACCACGCAAAGTTCGGCTCCCTCCAAGAGCAGTAAAACTCCCTTTACAGTCCGCTTGCCGGCTCCACATCACGCGCCACATTCGCCTCTACTCGGCGGCCCGGTCCCAGCGTTCCTCTCCCGCGTTCTCTGAGCGTAAACGGCCAGGTGCCGCCGGTGCAGGTCAACAGGCGTGCCCTCTGCGGCGGGCCCGACCAGGCCCGCTTCAATTAGCCTACATTGCGGGGGTTGCCGTGGCCCACTGCCTCCGCGTGCCGAGCAGACGAGGATCCGGCCGGCCGGCTGCATCTGGGTCAGCTGAGGCCGCATGCAGGTCAGCCCGACCCGCTGGCCGCGCCGGAGAGCACGGCGCCACCGGAGCGGGGCGGTCCGGCACCACCAGGGCGGAAGAGCACGGCACCACCAGGGCGGGAGAGCACGGCACCACCGGAGTGGGGCAGCCCGGCCGCCGCCCGCGCGGAAGAGCACGGCGCCATCGGAGCGGGGTAGTACGGCACCACCAGGGCGGGAGAGCACGGCACCACCGGAGTGGGGCAGCCCGGCCGCCGCCCGCGCGGAAGAGCACGGCACCATCGGAGCGGGGCAGCGCGGCACCACCAGGGCGGGGAGAGCACATCATCGGAGTGGGGCGGTCCAGCACCACTTAGGGAGCGGGGGGGGGGGGGGGCACGGCACCGTCGGAGCGGGGCAGTCTGGCACCACCAGGTCGGGGGAGCACGGCCACCACCGGGGCGGGGAGAGCGCATCACCAGAGTGAGTCAGTTCCAGCAGCACCTGGGCGGGAGAGCACGGCACCATAGGAGCAGGTCAGCCCGGCTGCTGCCCGCCTCTGTCCCTCTCTAAAAACAAAGCTTCGGCCGGTCCGTGGCCGTCCCGCCAACTGGCGGCAGCGGTCAGGGGAAGACTTGCACGGGCCGGCCGGCCGTGCCCTCACGGCGGCTCGTGTGCAAGAACCGCCGGCACACAGCGTCAGCTGGACCACTGCATGGTCGTGCGCGCAGCTTAGGGCGTCCCTGCAGTCGTAGCACCGGCACGTGCGGAGGCGCGCCGGGCCGGCACTTGCCGCCGGGCCAACGGTACCCGCGCAAACCGCTTAGCGTTGGCTTTTAGATGCCCTGTATTTTTTTTGCCGCGCGGGTAGCCATCGCCGATGCTTTGCTTCCCAGATGTTCTAGAGGCGTGTTCAGAGATTAACCTAGGGGCCTATTATCGCTTAAGCTCCGCATGGTACTAAGTTATAATCTTGACAAAGCTCGTGTTTTGTATCCACTTCCCAACCCAGGAAAAGGCCACACAACGCACGCAAAAACAACTCGAGGCGCCCCAATGATAAGGCGGCTCACCAGAACCTTGTTGCGACCGCCATTGCCCTTTGCAGGCGTTCTGCGAAGTACTACTGCCACCGTCATACGACCTGCCGTTTCCCTCTTCACCGGAACGAGCTCCACCGCCACCGGCCAGAGCCGGCGGCGAGACCTTTGTGGCGGCGGCCGGGGCACGTGCACTCGCGTGACGCCGGCGGCTGGGGCAGGGGGTGCGGCTCGATCGTCGGCAGACGGCAGTAGGCGGCCGGTCACAGGAGCCGGCCGAGCCCGGCTGGCGGACGGATTACCGCCGATCGACCCCAGCTGCCGAGCCCGGGCAGCTCCCGGCCGGGCCGCGGCGTCACCGCCGGCGTGGCAGGCGCACGGCTGCCGCTTGGTGCACGTTTGAGCCGGCCAGACCACGCCCGTCGAGACCACAGTGGATGCAAAACCGTCCCCAGGAGGGCGGCGGCGTCGCAGCTCGTCAGGAGTCGGACATCGGCCTGCAGGCCGACAGCCGGGGCAGCCGAACCACTGCCAGACTCCTGGTGAGGCGCCCCGGCAGGCTCCTGAGCATCTGGAGCGGCTCGCGTCTGCCACATCCCTCCCTTACCAACAAAGCCTCGTCTGGACGGACGTACCCTCTCCGCAGGTCGCGTAAGTCACGTACCCTCTCAGCATCGCCAGCCTGGCTGGCCGCCTGGTTTCGGCCACCCCTCCTCCCTCCCCCGAGTGGGCAGAGCGGGAGCCATCAGGTGGCCGGCGAGCCGCCCATCACGATTGCAAGGCTTGCGGGCGGCATGAGCATGCAGCCGAGGTGGCGGCGCGGCCGCGGCCTCCTTCCGTCGGCCTCGCCGGACCGGTTCCGAGGTCGAGCCGCCCTTATCGCGCCCGCCCGCGTCGACTCTGACACGGAAGCGGCCGCCGCCCCGGTCACGGGTCACTGGTCGGTGGGGCCCGTGACGGCCGCCTGGCACTCTCAGTCCCGCACCTGGCCGGCCGACGCAGATGGCGCCACTGCAGGGCCCAAACAACCCGGCCCGGCACCGTGGCCGTCGTCGTTTGGGACAGCTGTCTGATGCTCGGAAGGGACGTATAGTGGCTTTTGAGAGCAAAGTCCAAGGATAATTTCTGCCAAATAGCCTGCGTTTAAAATGCGAGAGCACACGATGCACAGACGCGGTTGGCAAAAGCATAATACACGAATCATGAGGCACGCTTAACCCGGAAAAGGAGGAAGGCCGACTCTGCCTGACGGGTATCTCGACCTCCTGTTACCACCTGTTACCAACGGCATCTGTTGCCGCCCATCAGCCCCAGCCCCGTTCATTACGGTCGGCTGCTCGTCACCTCGCCAGCGTAACAGGCCGAATCGCGCCGGGGGGGGGGGGGGGGGCAGCCGGACGACACCGGACGACACCGGACACCGCCGTCCTCATAGGTCACGTTCATCCGCCACACGTAACAAATATCTCGTCTCCAGCCGCCGGATGATCACAAATGAGGTGTTGCGTAATCCCCAGGCGAAAGTCGGTGCGCTGAGACGCGTGCTGATGCCGTGCGCTGGGGGCTAGACGCCGCACCACGCAGCCACGGTCAGGCCTCGCACAGCGCATCCAATCCACCCGGGCTATTTAAGGCGTGGTGCGCAGTTGGCGCTGGCCGGCATTGTGTGCGAAATAGATCGCGTAGCATGGTCATCAGCCGCAACCTATTTGAAAAGGGCAGCGGCGCCTGCCACCACCATATTTCACGCGAGTAGGAGGGAGCCGACCAGGCGGCGGGTGGCTCCTCTCGCCAGCGAGACCAGGCGCCGGCCGGCGAGTGGAGACGGGGCGCCAGGCGGGCCGCGTCCCAGCCAGGCAGAGCCCGTGGCCGAGCGCGCGGCCTTCTGACACGGGCGGCCACAAAAACCGTCGGCCCGGACACCCCCGGCTGTCCGCCGGCCTTGTGGGACAGGACGGGCCGGTCAGCGGGCGGGCCAGGCTGCCTCCCGATCTGGGTCGGCGGTCGCCGCGCCGTGACCGGCATCGGGGCCGCCGTGCCGCGGATGACAGCCGAGGGCATCGGACGCCGGCCGGGAGGCGAGGCTGCCGACAGAGGGGACGGCAGCGGCGTAGATTCCGCTCAGAAACGGTGAAGGTCGGCGGCGACCCTGCCCCCCCCCCCCCTCCGCCGGCGTCTTCGGGTGCCTGCTGTCCTGTCCTGCCTGCGTGCCGCGCGCCGGTGGCGCCCCAGCCGACGCCGCGTCGCTCCGTCGCCGGCGGCCGGTCCTGCCGGTCGCGCTCCGTCGGAGCGGCGGTCGGGGCGACGCGCCGTTACCCGGCCGCCGCGCTGCGCCGGGCCCTGCTCAGCCGCTGTGACGGACAGCGGGGCAGCGCCGGTAAGGCGGCTCCCACGCCGCCGCGGCGGGCGGCGACGGCGCCTCCTCCCGCTCGTGGCGCGCGCGGCGTGACCGCGCCAGCCACGACCGTGACACACTGCGCTCGCCGCCCGCCGGGAGGCGTGCGCCGCTGGCCGGCGGGGCCGGCGCCGCGTCCACCGGCTGATCGGGGGCAGATCGGCCGCCGCGCTGCGCCCGCCCAGCAGCCGTGTTTGGTATTCTGGAGCGCGATTCGGACAGCCGGCTTTGCATAAAGTGGGGCTGGGCTCAGCGTATTCTTGGCAGCGGGTGCCACCCGGGAGACGAGGTCGGGCAGCGGTGCTCCATGCCAGGCGGCTCGCCCAGGTCAGAGGCGTCCCGTGCCAGGCGGCTGGCGCAGGTCAGCGGTGTCCCGTGCCAGGCGGCCTCGCACAGACCAGCGGTATCCCGTGCCAGGCGGTTCGCGCAGGTCAGCGGTGTCCCGTGGCAGGCGGCTCGCGCAGGTCAGTGGTGTCCCGCGGCATGCGGCTCGCGCAGGTCAGCGATGTCCCGTGCCAGGCGGCTCGCGCAGGTCAGCGGTATCCCGTGCCAGGCGGCCCGCGCAGGTCAACGGTGTCCCGTAGCAGGCGGCTCGCGCAGGTCATAAGCCGGCCATGGGGACCAGCTGAGCGCCAGACTATGTTTGCCTAAGGCGGGACGGCATTACCCACTGACCCGAGTCCACTCCAAAGTGGCTGGTCGTGGAACGCAGGCACGATATCACGGCACTGAGAGAAAACAGAGCTAAGCGCCGGGTTCTATCATTTCATGTCGACCATAAACAAAGCCGTGACTGCCCTACTCTCCAGCCTCCGCCGGAGGGATGTTCCTCCCTCTCTCGCCATCTTGAGCCAGCGACTCGGACGCTGCCGACCGGAGCGCTTCCCGGACGCGTCTGAAGGGTCGCCACGCCGACCGGCTGTTGTTTTAGAGTCGGACGCTGCACGAGCGCGATCAATAGCCGCCCGCTGACACGGCCGGCACCAGTGGACACTGCGCAGCGCGCCTCACCAATCAGGCCAGCTTCATATTAGGCTATGTGGGCCATACCAATACCGCGTTAAGGCACGCCGTGCAGGATAAACGCGTGCCGGCCGCGTGCTATCTGGGTAACGATGCAGTGGACCGTGAAGTCCCGGCAAAAACACGGGAGGGTATGTAGAGCAGCGCACCATGGCGACGCACCGCGCAGTCGAAGATAGCGTCTCCGCAGGATGCCGGGCAACAACACTTTAAAACCACCCGCTGTTCACAGAAGACAAATGACCCAGCGTAAAGCAGCCGCAGACCAGCGGCCGGGTGTGACAGCCAAGTGGAGCGTGCCACCCGGGGCAGTCAAACAATACGCCGTGCGTGGTTTAGGACAGCGCCGCGACAGGCAGTGTGTCTGACAGGTGGCGCGTCCCCGCCCCGCACCCCGCCGCGGCCCCTGACACGAGGCGCCCTACGCACGTCGAGACAGCCTGTCCCCGCCCCGGCCGCCGCCCTCCCCTCTGTTTACGGCGGAAGCGCGCCCCGTCGGCTGCGCGCGATATCCGGCCGGGCCAGCGACGCACTCATCGCCACCGCATGCCGCCGCGGAAACGCCAGATTAACGAGCGGCACGGCCACGGTGGGGGTGGGGAGCAGCGGCAGCAGGTGGGACGCCACCCCTGCCGCACCTTCCGGCGGCGACAGATGGCCGCGGTACGGGCCGTCCGCGCGGCGCCGGCGCTGACTCACCGGCCGGTCGTACCGCCGCCAGGCGGCGCCCGCGGCCTGATCAACGCCGGCAGGGTGCCGGAGCCCGACCGGCTTCGGGAGAGCCCGGCCACCACGCGCGGGGAGACTCAGCTAGGCCTTGTGGAGATATCACTGCACCCCTATTACTGTAAGTGGCTGGTTGTAGCAGACGAAGATTGCATCTCCGTGATGTAGTACTTCAGTAGCAATAATTATCTACAAGTGGATTGCCTGTAACTGGAAAACAATGTCCACCTCAGCGAGCAAAACAATTGGCCGGTAACTAGTTCGCCGCCTTAGCCTTGACAACAACGAGCGATCAGAAGAACGCCTCGAGGACGCGAGCACGCCTCAGCAAAAGGTCAGCAGTTTCAGCAATCTCAACAGCGCGCTTCAACGCCCCGGCGCGCCAGTTGGAGCGATAACATTGCTTTAGAGTACCTTTTGCATGCAACACTTGGTTGTTACGTTACATTTTCCAAAGTTGGGGATTCATCCCCCGTTCTGAGGCCCAGCGTGCTATGACCGCACCACTGCGTGTGGACGAGCCCGGCGAGGGGGAGGGTACGGCGCCGTCCTGCGTCACACCACCAGCGCATCGGACATTATCATGGACCCCCGCAGTCGAACTGAAGCCTCTGCTGCACGACAGCGCTCCCACGGGCTGAATGTCCGTCGAACGACCCGCATGCCCGGCTTACCGCTTCAGCAAAATGCTAAAAGTGGACCTGGAGCCTCGAGCAATCCCAGCAGGCCAGGTACTTTGCTTAACCTTTCTAAGGGTCATTTGTCAGCAGAAGGGCAGCGCCACGCGCGGCTCTGCTGCCGACCAGAGCTTCCGTGGAGAAGTGTCAGCATACTCCGCTGCCTGCGCACGCCGCCAACGGCCCGGGGCGTGGCGAGCGCTGCACGGCTTTGCGAGCGTGCGGGACGGAATCCCCCGGGATTTTGGAGGGGCGCGCGCGAGCAAATGAAGTGCTGGCCGCAAGCAAGGGGAGGGGCGGAACAGACAATTCGCCGCACGGACCAGAGCCGTGATACTCTTTAGCCTGGTGTGAAGCCACCAAACTGCAGTCTCGTGTACTCCAATGCCCAAATGCCGCAAGGGCGTTCGAATAACCCCGGGAAATCATGCCGGACTGAGCCTCTTGGATGTGTCAGACTGGCCGACTCAGCCGAGCGTGTCGAGCGCAGTCGTGACTCCGCCCGACTCCCGCCCGTAAGCTGGCGGACCGGTGCGCTCTGCCGTTGAGTGACGCACGCACTGACTCACCTTGCCAAGGAAGTGACGCCGGTAACACTTGGCCGTCTCATCGCACTCGATCTTGGGCTTCCAGCTGTGCTCCGGCAGCAGGGGCTGGCCGTGCGCGTCCACGGCCGTGTCGTGCTCAGTGCCGTCCACCCAGTACTGGCCGCTCGGCTGGGTCAGCACCAGCGGGTACGGCGGCGCGTGTCGCAGCGCGCGCTGCAGCATCTCCGAGGGACACTTCTTGTCCGGCGGCGGCTTGGGCGGCTCTTCCTTCGACGGCTGTGGACGAAAAGAAGCGCAGTCAGACCTGGGCGGCCGGCGCGGGCCGGCGTGGCTGGCACCAGCGTGTGCCAAAGACAGACTCCCCCCCTCCCCTCCCGGACACAGGAACCCGTGATGATGAGACCGGCGTGATCTCGGGGATCGTGGTGATCGTGATGGTTATCGAAGTTTTAGGGCGCAACGGCTGGCCTGGGGGCGAACGAGCGGATCGGACACAACAGCCCCGGACAAGCGTGGGGACAACACACACCGTCACACACTGGAACCCGAGAAAAGCGCGGGGAGAGGACGCGAGTTTTAAGCAGGAACTCGTGGACGGAAACAATGAAACAATGAAAACCATGAAGTTCCGAAACACCGAGAGGAACAGACAAGCGGATGGCAAATCGATTACGGACGGAAGAATTGTTCGGGACTATTGCCCTCCCCTGGTGTGCAATCGTCCTCAACCATGTTGCGTCCCTCCAGGTTAGCTCAGTAGTAAAACGCTAGTCTTCATCGGAACATCCCGGTAAGATTCCCAAAACGTCCAAGGAGACAATTCGGGCCTGTGACGCACGCGTGACTGAAACCGACCACCATCCAGGCCTTCTCGGGACTCAGGAACATCTGACAACGGCTGGGGTATTAACTGGACGAAACGCTGTGTACGGACCAACACACCCACCAGAAGATGACCGCAGACCGCACAATTTATTTAATTCGTAGCATTGACACCTCGCCTCATCATTCCTAAAAGGCTCTCGTAAATCATCCTCAGGCCTAATAAATCTCACAAGAGCGCCGTCGGTCCGCTGGCAACAGGCGGGCCAGGACGCCGCTCGCATGGGAAGTGCAAGTCTTCCGGGTCGCAGCTGAGTGAAAACAGGTCACCCAAAGCTCGTCTGAACAGATACATTTCCGCCTGACAGCCCATATGGCGCAATGCAATCCCAGACGCGATTCAGAATGCATAGCGCAGCGTTCTTGCTCGGTCAGGCGGATCCCCACCAGCCGGTTCGACGCATGCGCAGAGGCCGGGACTTGGCGACATGTCAGCCAGCTGCCCGGCCGGCACTCCATATTTGACGGTCACCACACAGTCACTGGACGATCCAACAACAGGTTCTGAAGCAGATGCTGGACGCCCGACATTAGGTCCGATACAGGTAGCGCGCTTAGCAGCTGTGCTGGTCTGGACAATCCTTAATGCAGCCTGGAAAATCATACCTGTACATGGGCTATTTTGCCGTGGAATATATGACGTGGTCAACAGCGCGACTCTGACTTCCGAGTCATCGTGCGCCCGCTCTCTACAAACAGTACAGCAGCCTGGACCGTGAACGTGACTCTCGTCGAAGCGGACCTCTCACTCCCCATACAGCAGCGCCGCTCTCAAGCAAATCTCAGCAGCAGCATCAGGTGAGTGGTAACGGTCCACTCACACAAAATCCCCAACCATTAGGGGATCGGGAGTGACCGGCCAGTCACGTGGAGCCGGACCTCCGACTCGCGTGCGCCGTTCGCGAGCCGCGCCAGGCTCTGCTACACGTGATGTCAGCTTTTGACGTTCGCCGACAATTGAGCGGGAATCTCATGCGACAGCGCTATGCCTTATTATCGTCATTCCCTCGAGCGAGCAGCGTCACATGCAGCAGGGAGGCGTTGGGTCGCAGTATCACAGTGTATAGAGCGGCAGCGCGGCGGCGGCCGTTGTCTGTTCAACTCGGCAGTACTTCGAACTGCATGGCGCCGGCTGTGGGGCTTGGCGTGAGGCAGACGCTATTCTTAAACAAACTTTGATGACGCTGTAAAGTTTTGCCGCACAAGTGTTGTCTAAAATCATGTACGGGTGCAACTGAGGCACAGCATGCAAGTCCCCCCAGGCCGGTGACGTCTTACATGCCCCTGGGTGCGATATTCCACGAGCTAGACGTGACATCACTGCGGTTAGAAACTCCCCAAATGGAGTTAAGTGATACAATGGACTGGCAATGACGTATCATGAGTCAGCGTCTCCAGCGTCGGGCTGCCTCATTGCCAGAGGTAATATTAACGCGATTCGGAGCAGATAGCTTGCATTCCAGCATGAGCTTTGTGGCGCCAGGCAGCGGTGAAGACTGGCCTTCTTAGTGAGCGCCGTTGTTCTGCCCGGGCGGTTCCTAGTGGGACAATATTGTGGTTTCCCAGGCGCATAGCGCGGCTCGCTTCCTGGCCTAAATACATGCGTTCAGCCAAGGTCTGCTGGGTAAATGGAACACAATTCCACACCACTGCGTTGGCCTTCGCAGCGCGCCAACCCGACCCAGTCCAACCCATCACCAAATCTAACGACAGAAATCGATGCCTGGTCGCCATGGAAACAAACTCCAGAGACGGACCGGGAGCGGGAGCGGCAGCCGCTGGCGGCCCCTACTGGGTCAATGTTAAGGTGGCTGCCACTGTGCCCACCGCCGGCCAGGCAGGTGAGACGGTCGGAGAGAGCGGGGAGGGCGCGGGGAGAGCAGCGGAGCCGTGAGTCACCTGTCCTTCGCTGGCGGCGGCCGGAGCGGGCGGAGGGGCGGCCCGCCGCCGCCTCCCCGACTGGACCACACAGTGGTCAGACGAGGTGCGCAACAGAAAACTGGCCCCGACACACGGCGCCGACCGATGGCCGGCCGCTCGACCGGCCCTGTTGCACCCGGGCACCGCAGGCGGCACACCACAGGGCCGCGATGCCCCGCATTCACCAGAGGCCAGGGAAAGCGTCGTGATAAGAAACAACACGCCAAGAGCTGGGCTGGGAAAGCAGCGACAACATCCGTTCGAAAGCGGATGACTCCCGGTGGGTGCCCTCTACGTAACTAGGCGTCATTTAGACATATAGACAAACGAACTTCACAAGAGCTCGCTGCACAATCGCCGCATGACGCACCCCGGCGTGATGCGCCTCGTCGTGCACCTGTTCTCCTCTCCTCCGAAGACACACCGAGGGTGCGAGAACCGCTCTGTTTAACCGGGCCAAAAATAATCGGCCAAGGAGGAGGCGCCGCGCACCGGGCCGATGAGCCCGGCAGCCCGCGGGCCCACCCGCCTCGGGCGAAACGTCGGAATGCCACCTACCGTGGCCGGCCTCGGCAGCGGCGACGGCGGCGGGTAGAACATCTCCTCGCGGATGCTGCGCAGCGCGAGCACTTTGACGAACGGGAACAGGGTGGCGGCGGGCGGGCGCGGCCGGCGGCGCGCGGCTCTCCTTTCCAGGCCTGGGCGCTCACTGAGCCTAGCTTGCACCGGCTGCCGCCAGGGAAGCAGTCGCCGCCGCGCCGCCGGCCGCCGCCGCCGCGCGCCCGCCGACCGGCCGTCGCCATGGCAACCGCGGTGGTGTACCTGACTAGTCAGCTGTTTGTTGCGCCAAGGTCTTGACGGCGTCGCGTCGGCCGGCGCTGGCCGGCGCCGCCGCTCGCTGCACAGCAATGGAAAGGCGGCGGCCCCGGCGGGGTGGCTCTCCTCGCTCCGGGCAGAGCGGTGACACGCCGCGCTGAAGGGGCACCGGCGCAGTCCCGGCGCTGTCAGCTGGAGAGAAAGTGTGTCGGCTGGGGCAAAGACGGCCTGCAGTATTTGTCGCTCGCTTGCCGCAGCGAGCTAGGTGGAGGCGTGTGCTGCTGTCGCTGCTGCTGCTGACGGTGTTTGGGGGAATTTATGAGCGCATCGGCTGCTGGGATAATTTCGTGCTCGATGCATGAGCCGTATCTCCGCCATGCCACTGCATAAAAAGCATTCACACTGCAAATTTTCCAATTCCATGGAGTTTGCTGCACTCCAGCAAGCGAGCAAAGCCTGCAGTACAACCAAGCACGTAGCCTCCCACGTAAATTCCTATAAAAAAGACCATCGTGAGCTAGGGTGTATGGCTGAGATAGCAAATACCGTTGGAAAGTAAAAAATGGTCAACGACCACGCTCTCTGAACACATGCACTTCCCCCTGGACGAGGTTTCCTTCCAGCGTTCAAAATCAGGAAAATACCGAGCCGGCAATGGACGACAAACGTGCATCCGGTACTGGTGCTCCGTTCCTATGTTTATAACTGCCGTTGAGGTTACCAGCCCACGCCAATGACGAGCAGTGCGGCGCACGCTACCATCCCGGGTGTAGCTGACCACGGCGGGACATTACCTAGATCGTCCCATCATTGACAACATGCGCCAATCCAGCGCGAATGTGTCTCTATAGCTGGCGGTCGCGTTGGCCGCGGCTGATTGGTGGGTCTGAGGGGTGTAACGTGTGTGTCGGCACAGACACGCGTTACGTTCGCGTCGTACGCACAGGCGATCGTGTCCGTCCACAGCGGGTGCGCCGTCACTGACAGGTCCCATTGCGACAGCGCGCGTAATACGTCCCAGGGGCCACGCCCCGCGGCCGGCTCAATGCGTCGGAGCCGCACGCCGTAATCAGCCCGTCATTGGCAGCGTGTTTGCGGCCGGCCGGTCGGTGTGAGGTCGCTGTCGCCTACGCAGTGCGGCCACCCACCTTCCCGGACTCATTACAGGCGTGCGGTCAAAGACAGGACTCGTGCGTGAAACCGATACGTTCTGAGACGACACGAGACGAGACGAGACGGTACGAGACAACAGCCCCGCCACTCGCAGGTCGGCAGCAACGATCGCCGACGCGGTGCTACAGAGAGAGTCCGCAGAATCCAACACAACAAACACTCGACGCTTGTTTGTTCGCTGCGCTCGGCATTAATGCCAGCAGCCAACAGCACCCAGCGGCGGCTCACCCGGCGTAAGCGGAAGATGGATCTGCATGGTCGAGCTCAGACCCCTCCCCCCCCCCCCCCCCGCTGGCCGAGGCGCGGGCACAAGAAAACGCAGGAGGCTTAGATAAAAACACAGCCCAGCAACAGGTCGCGATGAATTAAGCAGCGAAGTGCGCAATCGGCGTACCCGTATACCCTACCCCGTGTACGGTATACCCCGTATACTCACGTATGATTATGGCGTGACATGACCTGCCTTTGTTAAGCATATTCCGAAA